TTTCCATGAAGAATTACCGAAGGTGAACTTGCGTGTCCGGAGATCAACCGCGTTTTAAAGCGCATTCCGGTGATTGGACTAGTATTGACATCGCTATGGACACCAGGCTTTTGAAATGATGATTAATGCTGCGGGGATTGTAACAGACATTTCTGACTTATGTTCTGTTGTCGGCCAGCCATATTTCGGCTTAGAGCCGAGAGATTAGGATATCCGCGCCCGAGTTGTGTTACAAGTGAATATCTGAGTTGAACGCCCAACCACTAGACAGTGGGTCTAACGCTCTGAAACTTATGATCAGACGGGGATAGCAGTTCATACGAAAGTAAGTGTCCGTTAATCAAATTGTACAGAATAATATACTTGTTATGTTCTTCCTTTGAGTTCAGTCAAGACTTCTTATGATTATGTGACTGAATGAAGGCAACACGAGTTAAAGAAGTGACGACATAGACGAGGCGAACTGAAACAAGCATTACTCGCTTACCTGCCATCGCCAACCAGACATACTTCAGCCCGATTGCGGTCGACAGGGCAACGGTCGGGCAAATCACTGACTGTGCGCTTGATTTAATACTTGCTGATAAGAGAGTCTGAGTTTTTAACCGAGTTTGTCCAGGTCTAGGATTAGGATAAGAGAAACTAGAAGCGGCATATAAACCATCGGCGAATATCACAGTTTCCATAGTTTTTGTTGGCTTTTTCATCGCTCCTGAAATTGTCCGTACGATAACACAGGTACAGTATGTTCTTCTATGAAATGTAAGCGTCATAGAGTCAGTTTCACACTGATCAGCTGTTAACAATTACTTCGATAAATCCACATGAAGGCGCCAGGATCAATAAAAGAATTAATGTGAAAAGGAATATATCCCTTCGCTTCAAAGTCATCGGTATTACATTAGCCTGTCGATTTTAGGCATGTTTACTGTGTGCCCACATTCTTTGCGCACGTAACAGCCAGTAAAGATAACTAGGCTTGGATAGTCCCGTACAGAATCGGACAAGTTTATGTTGTGAGAGATTTCAGGCGTATTACAAAGTCAGCCGAAGATGCTATATGTGCTAGCTTTGGATGCTGGACCCATACATGGACGTCTGCCATTGGTTACCTGGTCGATGTATTGAACTCTTGCTGAATAGAAGGTCCGTGAAACGGCTTGGTGAACTACTGAGAAGGCGCCTTACCCAAGCAGTTCCACGGACCTTCCCTGCAACAAGAGTTCAAGTATTTTTCTCGAGCAACCACGTCTTACGCTGGAAGCTAAGGATAGGCTACCAGGTCAGACCACCCCCATGTGCATTCGCTCTTTTACTAGTTCCTGTGGGTCGTACGAGTCGGCGCCTATCCACCTGACGTCATGGTGTTCACTAAGTATCAACCGAAGTTCTGGGCCCGCTATGTCGATAACACCTTCGTCGTTGTCAAAACAACTGACATTGAGCACCTAAAGGAACTACTGAACTCGGTTGACCCGGATATCCAATTTACGATGGAGGCAGAAACGAACAACCAACTCCCCTTCCTTGACGTACTTGTGCGCCGGTGTACCACTGGACATCTGCAAATTACAGCATTCTGAAAATCCACCGAAACGAGACAGATCCTACACTTCAACAGCAACCATCTTCTGTCTCACGAACGTAGTTGTGTCCGCACTCTGTTCCAAAGAGCCGAAAGGCATTGCAGCACGCCAGGAAGATGAAAGGGCCGAACGATTGTACCTTGTGAACCTATTTACAGCCAATGGTTATTCCGGACCTTTAATCGAGAGAAGCAGACGTTGGGCGTCCAGACGACGGCCAAGTGAGCAGGAACCCGAAGTCTGGAGGGCCATTCCTTACGTTAAAGGGGTTTCTGAGGCGGTCTCGCGACTGTTACAACCCATTATAGTAGGCATAGCCCACCGACCCCAAGCAACAATTCGACGTCGCCTGATGCAACCTAAAGACCCATTGCCACCCGCTGAAACCTCAGTAGTCATCTACAAAATTAATTGCAATGAGGGCGACTGCAATTATGTGGGCGAAACCGGGCGGAAATTACAAACTCGCCTACAAGAGCACAAATCGGCCACTCGGAGGTTAAACCCTAACTCCCAACTAGCAACACACGTTGGAGAAACAGGGCATACTTTTGACCTCCAGCGGGCTATCATCTTAGGCCGGGGCAAAACAAAAACAGAATGACTAACTCTCTACACGTGGTTCTGCGATGCCCACTCTGTCAACAGGCATCTGGACCTTCCTGCGGCTTACAAAGTCCTACGTCATTACAATCGTATAGCTCAGAACCAGACAACCACACCGGACTTAATAAGGTCTACGGAGATAGCCTGACGCTGAGTTTACTCGGTGAGGAAGAACAAGAACCGCCAGACCGACTGCCCAACTAAGGTTCAATCAGCTCCCCTCGACGGAGTGGTGACTCACAAAGCACACAGTCAAAATGCCTGTCAATTATCGCCTGAGAGGCCGAGGCAGCGAGAGGAGGGCAAAATCGATCAGCCTGAGGCCGACAAACACAAAATGCCACTGTAAATTAAATTTCTGGTCGATGAAGTGCATTTTAGGCTTTGACAATGAACAGCCGACCCAGCTCTTTGAAACGTCAGCATTTAATTAAACCTGTTCGGGAGAGCCTATCTTCTTCTTCAAATAATCAACCCGGATCTCTCAACTTTGCCAATCTGACATTAAGGGCGTGCACAGCTCCATCCTTACACACATGGTTGACCCTGGGCATCCTGTAGATCCCAACGAAGCCTTCGTGCGATCTAAAGGGTCCCAACTAAATACCATAAGCGATTGGGTCAACGAGTACAAGGAACACCAGAAGCAACCGCCATCAGGCTATGGAGGCCGATCCTGTGCGCGCAGAAGAGCCTCTTGCACACTCCGCGTCTGCCATGGTCAAAGATCGATTAACTGTGTGCACGTCTCCGCGCCCCCACCTCTCCCCTCCCCTCCTTACGACACGGCTCTACCTAACCTTCCCTGTCACCTACTACCTCCTCTCCCCCCTCCCCCTATCCACACTACCCGCTTGTATGAAAAGATCAACCACAATCGATACTTCTTATCGCTCACACGTTTCGCTCTGTACCTCGTTCCCATATAAATGCACAGGCGCGATGAGAATTTATCAAAAGCACGTGTTTGCTCACCAAATGCTATTCTGAATGGCTCCATGGGAATTTTCGCAACTTTTGATTTTATCGCCCAGCACAAAGATTTCTTTCGCATTTTACTTTAGTTGGGCAATGTATTTCTGAAGCACCGTCTCAAAATAATACATGAATATCTTACCACGCAACCATTTTGTCGAATCCGTGCACTTCAATCAAAGAAATAAAAGCAGCGTTATTCAACTTTCTTAAAACTGTCACCTGCCGACTTCGAGTTTCAGAGCGAAATAGTGATTACAATGCCTTCTTTCGGGGTAAGAACTATTAAGTTCAGTAAAGTTTCAGACGTCGGTTGCTGCATGAGAAGCTTTTGAATATGCTCGGCTCTGGATACGCTTTCGCGGTTGTCTCTTAAAAAGTGTGATTTTCTTTACGTAAATGCAAACGAAAACCATTTCTGCAACTCACTCGAGGAGTCGTTAGAATCCGACTGTAGTTGGGCTGGAACTGGACTGTTATAAATTAAAAACCACGATCCACCGAAACTTAAAGTACATCAAACCACATCCACGTAAGTAGCATGGTCTCCCTATTTTTGCTTTTTCTCGATTTCCCACCCATAGCAATGCTTTGTCTGTTACTAGTGTCCCCATGATTATCTTGACCAAATCACGTGCAGTTTGCGCGCCTTAATTTCCAAGTGCGTGTTTGTACCAACAGACCGCTCCTCGTGAAAAAAACTTAAATGTGCGGCTACTTTCAGAGGACTGTAGACATGTTTAAAATTTAGCGGGGTTGAATGCTAAGAAATACACGGACGCAAGTTTGATGTCCTCAAGAACATGTGTCCTTCGCCAACCTTGATTCTACACAAGAGGGGCTCTCCTCATCGAACCTTCAGAGTTTATAAGCCTAAACCGGGGACAGCACATTAACTAGCAGCTATTTCAGGTGTTCTTTTCAATCACCCTCAAGTTTCATTCCAACAATCCAACAATTTCATAAGGTCCTAAAACCAACCTAGTCTAAATTCAGTTCCACATTTAAATATACTGTTTTTACTCTATGTGCATCTTTCTCTTATTTTAAACGATGGCCGTTCATGAAGACCAGAAAGATGGTTTTACATACGCAACCACGCATGATGTACAAAAATTATAGTCCCTGTCCACCTTCTTGTTACACCAGCTCATGTTCATATAGCAAGCTGGTAAGTTCGAAATGTCAGAAAAGCTGCAATAAATCTTGACAGCATACATGCGGACAGGTAGACTAAATTGCCTTTAGCTAGTTTTCCTCGCTGGCACAAATATGCCTTTCTTTGCTACTGAACTGGCATTTTGCGTCCGACGTGATTTTAAGCAGACTGTGGGATGCAGACTGCAATACCTGCAGTCGAAACCAACAAACAAGAAACAACAACCTCTGTCTCTTCCCGCTCCTCGTCGCCTTCGCACCACTCCACAGGCTGCTAAGGCGAGCTCGCTCACTCTGGCAGTCCAGGAGCAACTGATCAAAACGAAGGACACCTCTAGTCCACCGAGGGCTGGCGAGCTACAAGGGGAACATCGCTGCTCTCCGCGAGACACAGTTTTCCAACAAAGGTCAATTGAAGGAGACGAACGCAGGCTACACCTGATACAAGAGCGGTCGCCCCAAGGCAGAGTGACGGGACTCGGTCGTCGTTTTTGCCATCCGGAACGACATCGTGGGACGACTGCCCTGTCTGCCGCAGGGCATCAACGATCGCCTGATGAGCCACCTCCTGCGCCACTAGGTCTGACGCAGCAGGGAATAAATTTTACGAGGTCCTACACGCACGCCTGGCGTCTGTGTCGAAGGCGCATGAGTTGATTGTCCTTAGCGACTTCAATGCCCACGTCGGCAAAGACCATGCGACCAAACGCAAAGCTCGAAAATTCCAACTGCCCTCACCTCACAACGCCAACGCACAACCGTCCTCAACATGCCCACGGTGTCAGGGAACATGCGGGCACCAGTCGTTCTCGTAGGACATCTTCGGGTCCAATGCGCCAACTACCCGACATCCACTTTGTCTTCCACTCTCGCCTCTGCTACAAAACCTACGACAGCGGCCATCCCCTTCGTCGCCAATCACACAGTAGCTGCCCCACCACCATCAATCACCCTCATCACCTCCTCCCCTGCTCTAACCACTGCGTCCAGAACAGCGACAATCTCCACCAACACCATGCACCTCTGTACACCGACATGACAACGTCTGACGTCCCGTCACCTGTTACTGTCACTACCAGCAACCCCGCATACAGCGATGTCGACTCGGCCTATACCTGTCCTCATTGCTATTGCACATTCACCTCATCCATCAGCTTGCCCGGTCACTTACGAATTCGTCGCACTCACTGCCTCCGCACATCCAGCTACTGCACATTTATCAGAACCTGCGCTAGACACCCGCTGGCTACACCACATCATCACACCTTTCCCACCAACACCTACACCACATGTCTTCATCCCCAATCGCCTCACAACACCAGCACTCAACTGCTACCTCTCAGCTAAGTGGGCAGTGTGCTTCTAGACTACCTCTCCATAAGGCTACTCTGCTGCATGTGGGATCGGAGCCTGAGCCTATCACGGTGTGCCGAGTGCTGTGGCTTGGAAGGCTGCCAACTGACGGCTCAACTCAGTCCACGCAGTGCGCCCAGTTGTGTTTTTGTGTGGAGTGACGTACTGGTGGGCTGAGAGTGAGCCTGCAACAGCTCCTTCTTAAAGAGACCTCTGGCACTCTTGCGCATGTGCGGAGTGTGTGTGTTTTGTTAGCAGTGCCTCTCAGTCGATGACTGACTGGTTACCCGATCTTTGAAGTGTGATGGCTCAAGCTGAGTGCAGGATTACGTATCACCCTTCTGAGCCTTAAGGATTGTATGAGTCTGTTATGCTATGATTCAACGAACCATGGCTTTCGTAGGCTGGTTAGCAGTTCTCTGGAAGTTGGTGCCCTGCCTAAGAATGCGTTTGCACTCCAGCTGGGTATGCAGACCGTGTGTGTGTGTGTGTGTGTGTGTGTGTGTGTGGTAGCCCAGCCATCTTCCCCCTTTTTGGCCCGCCGTTATGCTGTTGTTGGTTAAAATCCTGGTGAAGTGTTTGTTGTGGACCGGGGGTGTGGTGGTATGTCTAGGCGCAGGCCCGGCCGTGTCAGTGACCTGCGCCTTCTTCCGCTTCCGATATTCTTGACTATATCTTAACATCGGGTTGAGGCGGGAGGGGAGGAGAGAGTGCGGTAGATGCTGTGCAGGCTTACTCCAATTATAAACTCATTCACGCGCATGTTACCTGACTACTCTTACTTTGCTGTGGACCACACGGTGGACGTTGTCGGCAACGACTGTCGAACTGTCGTTACCTCCCGGTCAATGACTAAATGATTACCTCGCCTTTGATGGGTGCTGGCGTAGGCTAAATTTGGGGCAGTGTCTCACTCTTGTGGGTCTTAAGGATTGCGTGCATATGATATGCCACGCATCAGGAAACCATGGTCATCGCGGCCTCGTAAGTTTTGACAGTTCTCTGGCACTTAGTTACCTGCTTGTAAATGCCTTCGCGCTCCTGCTGCGTATACAAACCATGTGCATTGTTGCAGCGGGACTTAAGGCATACCTCTCTTTCTAACCTGGCTTGTAAGGCTCCCTACTAATGGCTAACCTTTCCTCGCAGCCGACCCAATATACGTGTATGTGTGAAGTGGCCGAATGGTGGTTTGATAGTCAAGGCGCAAACGGTCCTTCATAATTTGTCCTCTTTGGCACTTCCATTCCATGGGATATGGGCGAGATATGGCGGCACGTCTAGGGACAGTCCCGGTCGCGCTGGCTATCGCCCTTGTCTCTGCTGGAGTTAAAATTCCTGTTAGTGTTTATTGCAGACCAGGGTTGCTGCTGCGGAACCAGCATATGGGGACAGTGTGGCTGCAGCGGGTGTTAACCGGCTAACGTAAATTCGGCGTCCTTCATAACAAATGTCACATATTAGAGGTGTTGGGGCACGCTTAGGCGCGGGCTCACCCGACGCTAACCGTTTGCGCCTTACCGTCCCATCAGATGACTGACCGTTTCAAACAGCGGACTGCTTAACAACAGAGCCAAATAGAGTGAGATCGACTTTCAGCGCATTTCCACATTGCAACTAATTAGACCCGCTTTTGAAGTACCACAAAGCTCTAAAAGTCGTGGCTTGAAAGGCTGCTAACTGGCAGGATACCTCTGTCCTCCTCTCAGGACAGAGAACCAGGACGCAGCGGCTCCTATTTAATGTGGTTACCATGACACTGCAACTCAGATCGGATCCGAGCCATCCCCTTGTTCTGCGAAAACCTGGTCCGTCGTGAGCGGACCATGTGTGTGTGCGGCAGGCGTTTACGGGCTTTCTAGCTTTGTCGGCCACTGCGCTTGATCCGACTTCCGGGCGTCTTGATTAAATGTCGCCTAGGAGGGTGAGAGAAGAGATGATGCGGTAAATGCAGCGCAAGCGTGCTATCACCATAAACTAGTCAACGCTAAAGTCATCGTCCCGGCGATCGCCATGATGTAGGAAACATGGCGGACATTGTCACCCGCGACCTTCGAATTGAAAATTGTCTCTCTGGAGCAGGTTACACTGATCGAACGACCCGGTGCGTTTTTTTCAAGTCAAGAAAACGCTCTTCAAACGGATCCAAACTCATTGCAGCAAACCGGAGGAACAGGCACTTACATCATGGACGTTTCCGAAGCAACCGAGCGCATTGCTGCGAAGCTTGGTGTTGGAATTGCACACTGCCCCAAAGCCCCCATGGGCAGCAAGATCATGAAAATTAAAGACCGGTTAAAGTTTGAGGAGCAATCTGAAGTAGTGTATCGCATCCCGCGTCAAAACTGTCCTTGTAACTACACAGGCAAGACTGGGTGCAAGCTCGGATCGAGCATAAACGAACATAAGCTGGCTGTGCGGCGAGGCGACGCATCATCACAAGTGGCCGCCACACCTACGAAAAGGGCCATGAGTTTAACATCGCAGCCACCAAAATAGCCGCCCACACCGGAAGCGAAACCGGCCGAGAATTGATTGAAGTTTGGGCGTCGGATGAGAACTCAGTCAATGGATTTATCGATCCGGCGCCGGCGTACAGAGCCCCGCGCAGTCACCTCCAATCTTGCGCTGTCGGTCGATAATTGGCTTACGCACCGTATGCCGTTTGTTCTGGCGCTGATACTACCTCTACTACCAAGTACATCCAAAAACATTGTTCATACTTTGTAGCAGCAGAGATACAAACTAAGTCTTCCGGCGTCCACGCATTCGATTGGTCTTTAAGCATTTTTCTTCGTTCCCTTACCCTTTTGTCTCTTACGCTACTGACCACCTCCCATAGTGCATGAACAAACCATTTCCCTCAAATGCAGAACCTTGCATTCTGGTTACGGCTATTATAATAATTGTTTTTTCACAAATTTTTCGTTAACATGTATTTGACTGATTTACTGACTGCCTTTACCCCTGGTTTGTACATACTTTCAGCTTACTTTAAAATACTCTGCCCTGACCAAGCCCCAAGTGTGATCTCATCGCGAGATCGGTATGCGGTTTTGAAAATGACATAATAGTAAAAGTAGATTAGGACTAACTTCATTTTATTTTTCCAGTCAGACGAGTACGAAGCAACTCAAGTATTCGTTACTCCGACATAAGAAAGTGTCTGGATTTAGAGCATACACAACTACATGATTACAAAGTTTTTAAACCACAATAGCATGCTTATAAGGTGTCCCCTATCCATAGCGGTGCTAACTTAATATGGTAACACGTTAAACGTGGGTGGAATAGATACAAGAGCCTTTTACGTAACTTTATTATCTAGCCGTCTAATATAACATATGTATATCAAACGGTACTCGAAACTTATACGACGCACTCACGACGCTGCAGATTAAATAAATGCCACAATAATTTCAAATATTTCCGTCGAAGAAAGGCCTCTTTGTAGTGAAAGTACAAACTCTGTCCTGGGTGTAACAGTATCCACACCGGACGATCATCTTCTGACCTGAAAGCACGCTTGGAAATCAAAAACATTGTCTTAGGCTCTGTCAAGCTCATAAGAAAAGGTAGCTAGAATAACTGCAGATTTTCCAAAATCATGGTACATGACGGCGACAGACAGTCAAAAGAGAATCTACAACCTCCGCAAATACAATCGCTTCCATGAACGAACAGTACTAGAACAAGTCAGCTTAGATATGCTGGGCGCTGTCCGCGCCAGCAGTTAATATAAGAGCTCTAGGAGCAGTCACTTTTGAACGCTTTTTTTCAACTGGTTCCCTCATTCTCACCCTTGATTTGTGTCTGAGGTTTTAACGTCCTTGCGCCGTTCTTTTATATTCCCTGCCTCCACATATCGTATTGAGACATATCTGTCTTATCAAATTTGTTTTTGATTCTTTCCCCCCGTCTTACTTGGAACTTGCCGTATATATGTTCAGTCAGTCTTATTCGCAGCGTGGCTGTGTTTGAGGATTTGTTAGCCTTAATATCTCCCTTCCTTTTATTTTTTGACAATTTACGCTAAGAAAATGTTTAAATACCTTCGCGTTTTTTAATTTTGACTATGAAATGCTGTACGTATGCAGACTTAACCACTATACTGTTCTAAGTTTTTATCAACAGCGGTTCTTGATGACCACGTTTTCGTCGCTATGCTTAAGCGGTCGGTTGGCAAAAAGCGCTTTCTGGTGGAATGAATTCCGTGTTCTTTTTCCTTAAATGTGTATAAGGTGGATTTTGAAAATAATCAAAAAAATGCTTTGGTGAACTGGGCCTCACCTAGTTTGTGCAGCTGACGTGCATTTGAAATGTCGCTATTCTACCTCAATTTCGCTAGGGAAATTTTTTGGTTTTCAAGGGAGGCTAACTAAAGTAAATAAATAAAATAATTTTATTAAAGACCCATCTGGGTCCCATAAAAGCAGCCAAGCAGAGGTTGGATTTTTTTACTTTATTATCCATGTCCATCAAAAGCACTTTTTGATTCATTCATTTGCTTCTGTGGAGCGGGATACATTGGCCGCACAACGAGGCGCTTGGAAAAGAGAATACGTGAACACATACCGGCCTGGCTAGGCAAAGGTGAGAAGAAATCGATCTCGAGTTCTATTTTCGCACATCTTGTCGATACGAATCACCGAGTCGATGCCAAAGAAGCCTTTCAGATTGGCTACCGGACACCAGCAAGCTTCCCCAAAGGCCTACGCCAACTGGTGCTAGCTACAGCCGAGGCAGTGGGTATACGGCTAGCCAATCCAGTGCTATGCTGTCAGAAGACTCTGACACAGGCGCTCTGTCTTCCGTGGCCGACGCCGACCCCAACGTCGTCCCAACCTCCTGATGCCAGGGTGTGTGCACAAGGTACCCGACGTACTCACAGCCTATGGCCCCCCTCTCCCTCACCCCCTAAACCCAATGACCACGACACGCCGACCACGCCGACCACGCCATAGCACGCCTCGTCATGCGAGTGGCGTGGGAAC